ACATATGAAAAAATAATAACACATTAATTAACTGTTGAGGATGAATAACTACATATTATACGACATGTATATATACATATTATTGAATAATGCTATTGAAGTTGGGAAATATTACAGGCAGACTATGAAAGATTTATAACTAGTATACTAGTAAATGGGAAATCCGGCCTAGTACAGTTTGCGTATTAACGGTGAATAACGGAATATTGAAAATATAATATTTATAATATAAGTAAATAATAATGTTATATATTATTCATAGAATTAAAAAATATAAAGTTGGTAACTTTTTTTATAGGGTAGTGTGACAGACAAGCACACAGTCACACCTGATGGTAAGTGGTTGCTGTGGCCCATAGACACCTATATATGTATCCTCGATTACGAATCTAAATGCAGATGCGTTGTCACCCGTGAGGACTAAGATGTAATGCCTCGTTTCCAGTAAAAAGGGTCTCCGGTTCTCTACACTCACCATACGAAACACACATACACAGTATTAAGCTGCTATTTTGCGCACATATTCTGTGAGAGTGTGGTCCCATCCCGGTCAAGTCGACCCGTTGGTACTACAAAATAACTCAGGATTGAGTTATTTCCAAAAGAAGTATTTTAAGTTTGCAAGAATAAAATCTAAGTTAATTGGGAAAAACAGGAAAAACAGAAGAAGGTATGTTATCAAACATTATTTACAAATTTTTTTTTTAAATTTAAGAGATAACTTTTATATATATACCCTGCGGCAGATTGTACAGAACAGACCGAAGAGTACAATCTGCCACTTTGCCTGGCGTATGTGGACTATGAGAAAGCCTTTGATTCCGTCGAAATTTGGGCGGTGCTACAGCTACACCCTTCAGCGGTGCCAAGTTGACTGTCGGTATATCGAAGTGCTGAAGTGTTTGTACAGTAGGGCTACGATGGCTATCCGAGTACAGAACCAGAGCTCGAAACCTATCCAACTGCAGAGAGGTGTAAGACAGGGTGACGTTATATCAAGACGTTTTCAAGCTACTGGACTGGAAATGATACGGTATTAATATCAATAGCAAGTACATCACTCACCTTCGATTTGCCGACGATATAGTCCTTATGGCAGAATCGCTGGAGGACCTTAGCACTATCTAGTGTCTTCCAACGGATAGGTCTTAAGATGAACATGGACAAAACAAAGATCATGTTTAATGTCCATGTCAGAACTATGCCGGTAGTTGTTGGGAGCACTATGCTTCAACTCGGCTGGGCAGCGTTCGGGAAATTACGCCACACCTTCTCGGCAGGTATACCTCAATCTCTGAAAACTAAAGTGTACAACCAGTGCGTGTAGCCAGTGATGACTTACGGATCTGAGACGTGGTTCTTCATTGCTGGCCGTATGAGGACGCTCAAGGTCGCTCAGCGAGCTATGGAGAGGGCTATGCTCGGAGTTTCTCTACGTGATAGACTCAGAAATGAGGATATCCGCAGTAAAACCAGAGTGACCGACATAGCCCAACGGATTAGTAAGCTGAAGTGGCATTGGGCCGGCCATATAGCTCGAAGAACCGATAACCGATGGGGAAGAAAGGTTCTCGAGTGGCAGCCTCGTACCGGTAGGTGTAGTGTAGGGCGACCCCCCACTAGATGGAGTGACGACCTGGTAAGACATGCAGGAAGTCGATGGATGCAGGTGGCTCAGGACCGTGCTTTGTGGCATTACTTGGGGGAGGCCTATGTTCAGCAGTGGACTTGTGAAGGGCTGTAATGATGATGATGATGATTATATATATATGCTATAAAATTGAAATAAATACATTTGCATTTGTAAATAAATATCCGTGGAACAATGTTGCATTTTTCACTTTTCCCACCTAGATGACACGTTACTGGACACCTATTACCAATCACCAATTATCAAGGACCATACCATTACCAATTTCAAGGAACCATACTTTTTTTCATTGGTCACGTCCGTGTATCGATTTTGTGATCGCACCCCACCGTTGCTTTCGCCCTGGACAGCCATAAAAAAATAAACAGCATTATATTTTTGGGCGTTCGGCACCGAAACGATTGTCGCTCCCTCTCGCTTTACTTTCTTCGTCCTTTTCTTTTTAATTCGTCGTATTTTTATTTGCTATGATAAATTGTAACTGCGGCGGGCGAGAGGGGCCGCGCGGTGCCCCGGTTCGCTTTTGTTTCGGTAATTTTTTATGTCTGGTGTTTGCCTTAATTGCGTGGTGCTTTGCGGAAGCTCATTGTAGCGATGTGGGTCACAGTGGGGCTTGGGCGAGCGAGCGGCCCGCGTGACCCGCTTACCTTGCCTTGGGCCGACCCCTGACCCATAGATAGTTAGATCCACTTAATTGTTGACTCACGTCAGGGATTCACCGCCAATACTCGTAATTTTCTTAGTTCACAGTTTACAATTTTTAATTTTTTAATATTTATTTACTTCAAGCAACCCCATTTGTTTACTTCAAGCGCAAAATACCCAGTACAGGTAGATGCCGCTATCTTTCGGAAGTCGATAAGGTTTCTCTCTCGCATTTGCTAGTCAAAATGATTTTGGCTGATTCTATCACTTCCACTGAGCCGAGAAGCCGTGGTAGCTCAAATGGTTAACGCTCGCTGTAAATATAACAGAACGCGAGTAACCCGGGTTCGAACCCCGCCGGCACCAATGAAATTGTTAATTGCAATTTTAAGTGCTGATTTACCACGTGCTCGGCGGTGAAGGAAAACATCGTGAGGAAACCTGCATGTCTGAGGAATAAGAAAAAAAATATTTCGAAGACATGTGAAGTTCGCCAACACGCATTGGGGCAGCGCGGCGGACACTTCCTTGCCCTAAAACCCCCTCAGAAATGAGGGGAGGCCTGTGCCCAGCAGTGGGACGTATATAGGCTGTAACTTTACTTTACTTACTTTTATCACTTCCACTTACTCTTTTACAATACACGCATATTATTTTCCGTGTTAGAGCCAAGCTGCAGTTATACTATAGTAGCAAGAATAGGTAGGTTCAACCAGGGTAGGCCCGCGCTGTCACAGAATACCAGCGTAGCAGCTTGATACTGCTATGTTTCGTATGTGAAATCTATAGAAACGGTGACACTTTAAAAGAAAAATCTTTAAAAAGTAATTTTGCCAAATTATTATGATCCTTTACCAGCAATATGTAACATCGACTAAACAAATATAAAAAAGGTTTGAAAAGTTCGAATACGTACATATCGGAGGACTACAATTATTTGGACAATGTAAAATCGAACGCGGAAAAGCCTCGGCCGCAATTATGTTGCGTTTCCAGTAAAAAGTAAACATAATGTAGAGCCGTACAGGATATTGCGATCGGGTGTCAAAACTATTAGCCGTGAATGGGACATTGGAGTATCGAACTCGAGCGGTGGCGCGTCACCTTCATGATTGGTTTTATTGTTGACTAACTAAATTGCACGCGAATTCGTCCGCGTGGAATTTATTACCATTGTATTTCATGCCTTCTAATTCTCTTTTTAAAATAAAAGTAGCCTTAGTAACACCTTATAACATCAGCTATCTGCCAGTGAGAGCCCCCTCATAATCAGTCCAGCCATTTCTGAAACTAGCCAGAACAAACGAACAGAATAAAAAAATGTTTTTGTTATAAGTACCGTATATATTTTCATATGCGTTTAGTAATAAGCTGTTAGTTTGATATGAGAAACAGACACCTATATTTTATTAATTTGGATAGATAATGCTGATCGGATGTCGTTGCAGACAATAAGTGGCTTAGAATTACAATAAATTAAATGTATTTTATTCTTTGAAAAAACTTGATGGTAAAAGCATGCTGTGCCCATAGACACCTACATTTATCTGTAATTAAGAATTAAAATGCAGATGCGTTGACGACACCCCTGAGGACTAAAATGAAATGCCTCGTTTTCAGTAAAAAGGGTCTTCGGTTCTTAACATTCACACCATACACTCTACATCGCTCTCCACATTTACTTGCGTACCATCCATACCAACTAGATGAGCGGCGATCCGGCAGTTTAAAAAAGTTTTTAAGCTATTAGCTTCTATCGCGGGCCTTGAGCGCGGAGACCGAATCCAGAAATTCCGTAACGAAAAAAAACCTCACGCTCCCCACTCCGACGGGCACGGAGGTGTGGCGTTGAAAGCCGTGCATCGTCTAACGTCGTTTCAGTTCGGCAAATCGGCACGCACTTCGGCACGGTGTTTGTGTGCGTGCGACTAGACGTATGCGTGTACACTAGCTGCTAACTCAATGTTAAAAATTCCTGAATAACCTACATGTATTGTAAGATATTAAAAATATTTTAAACAATATTAACTTCTCATTTATTCAATAAGAGAAAAAAATTGTTTTCTTATCGGTCACCACGCTCAAAAAGTGTAACTTGATTTAATATCAAAGACTTAACTGCATAAATAAAATAAATAAATAATTATAATTGCATAAGTTGATAAAAAATGCTATGCAATAGCTTTACCGCGGCGGTCACCGAGTGCCACACGTATTTTTTTTCTTCACCGTACAACTTCCATGTGGAATCGACCACCACCAGAGATTTTTCCGGACCGATACGATTAGGGAAATTCAAGAAAAGAGCTTACTCTTTTAAAAGGCCGATAATGCATCTGCAATTGTCCTGGTGCAGTTGTTCACGGGCGGTGGTAATCATTTACCATCAGATGAGCCGCATGCTCGTTTGCCCCCCCCCCCCACCTCCTATAAAAAACCATAAGAAACATAGCATCATTAAGCTGCTATTTTACGCTGGTATTCTGTGAGAGCGTGGTGCCACATCACATTTTATCGACTGAGCCGACTCATTCGCGGTCAACCTTGATATAGCTGCAGTTTGGCACATATAAACATCGATCCATTTACCGCCTTTTCACATATATTTTCCAGTATAATTGTTAAATTATATTAAAATCACATTATACATCAAGCAAACGTTAAATAAAACGTAATTGCAGTAATTGATTTGCACAAAGTGAGTATGGAGCCATCTAGCAATTTTGAGACGCTGGAAACTATGAACGCTAGCAATTCCGCTATCGAAGGCTACAAAAGGTCGTAGTAACCTCGTACTGTAAAGACCAAAACTCGACAAACCACACCAGGTCTCTGTCGAAAATTAATCAAAACCTGAAGCTAACTGAACTTACTAACGTTACACGGACATGCTCTAAATCAATTCCTGCTTCCTAATAGTTGTCGATAAAAATTCAGCTACGCTTTTGGAAAACTTTTAAATAAGTATTACCTGTAATCTTTGTTGAAAATAAAAAGTAAAAAGTATTATAAATTATTTTTGCTATTGCTTAAAGTATTCCCAGTATCAGAAAATAGTTAAAAAGAACCTGCAGTACGATTATGTAACTCCGGAGGGATCCTTGCCGGTGGAAACTGCGTTATGCTTTTTATTAGGATAACACTTAACAACAACCTTAAATAATATTATATTTTTACGACCACACAGAATGTTTATTTACTTGCTTTATTGGAAACAAAGCAGAAATTAAAGGTATAAAAAATCACACAAAGAAAAATAAATAAAGGTTTTGTAAGCAACTAACAAACTAACAGAACTGTATCACTGAGAACAGTTTTGCGAAAACATTTTTTTTTGAGTCACTGGCCATATAATTTATTTAGAAAATTTAAATATTTACAAGTAAAATACGAATGCTCCAATTTAAAATTTTCCTCTGCATTTTTACGAGCCAAATTTTAATAGCGTATTTCATTGACAAATGGGTTCTTTTAAGCTAACACTTCGTGACGTAAAATATGATTTTATATTAATATATACAACATGCCACCAAGAAAGTTTTGGTAAATATATAAATGATTATGAGAGTGAAGGAATAGAGAGTGCACCTGTGCTGCACTCTCACCTGGGAACTATAATCCTGTCCTGCGCCGACGGCTAGCCTCCGTTGAGGCAGGTCGCCGTGGCCGAAATTCGGTCTGGAGGACATTATTATTAGTCCGGAATAAAGTAGTGTAAGCAATGCTGAGTAGTAAAGAGGTTTACAGAACCTAAAGACTTTTACTAGATGTTAAAATTCGCATACAGCTTTCTTCTTTCTTTCTTTAACAATCCGTAAAACTCCAGTGCTGGGTGCACACATATAAACCTAAAATAATATTGTTGGTTGCAAATGATTTTAACACGTATGTGTGCGCGAGTGCGTAATCTTATTAGAAATTAAGCATGATTTGGCTTCGATTCGGCGTCACTTGAAACGTACGCATCGCTTCGTCTTTATTTCTTCTATGGTCTGAGGTTTTCATAAGAATTTATAATAAAATTGCATTAAGGCCTTAAACACCGCCCATTACGTTGGGTAATTGGGCCTTTCAAACACAGTAATCATGCGAAGAACATCGCGCGGAGAATTTAGCGAACGTCTGTAGTCATGAGAAAAAGAATCTCAGATGTCTGTCAGTTATTTGCTACAAAAATATTTATTTTTCTTTTAATGGGAACTAAGGATCAGCGCATAGTTATACTACCTATGCCAGATTATGTAAAAATCCTACCTATTGTATTTGCCAGTTACTTGTGTGATGGTGCTTTTGTATGGAATTGTAATTTTACCGTTCGGAATTTAAATTTTTACTTACCAAAGTACAAAACAATTATATTGTATGCACGCTTATGTGTGCTTCTGAACTAGCCCTTATTTACTGGCCGAGGTTTTTATTTCTTCATTCTGAAACGAGTAATATAAAAAATATGTGATAATAATAATAATTGTATGGTTATGACTATAAATAAAAAGAAAGTCGTAGCCTTACCGTAAATATCTTAGACACGCCTGTAGAACTTGTTTACGAATATCGTAACCTCGGTCTCCTAATGGTTAATTAAAAATATTTTCAGGACTGACACATTAATCCAGACCACAATAAGAAACAAATTTGCTGATTGTACAGTCCTTACCATCGCGCATCGGCTTCACACTGTTATGGATTCAGATAAGGTATAGTTTACATGATTTATTATTTTGATTCGAATATCTATATTTATCTAGTACGCTGTACGATTTCGTAAGAAAAAAAGTAGTGATGTTGCGGCAAGGAGAACGTACAAAAAAATAACAAAAACCCTGTGGTTCCCGTAAGTGTGTTTTCAGAATCAGTATCCAAGCATATAGAAATATTTTTTTTATCAAAAAAAAACACATTTAAAAAAATTGATTATAATGAAAAAAAAATTAATCTACAAATTGTATGTGGTTTTATTTCCTCTAACTCACACGAGTATCGGCACTGCGGGGTCTTCGACAATCCTTTTAATAAAACCATACACAATTTGCTAATTATTTTTTTCTTTAAAATATATTTTTTTCAAATGTGGTTTTTCAGAAAAAAATATTTCTATACCCTTGGATAACGATTCTGATAACGCAGTTAACGGGAACCACAGGGTTTTTGTTACATGTTGTATAATGACAAAATTGAATAGTGTGTGATTATAAAAAAAAAAATAAACTTTAATAAGAAGCTGAGAGGAAGGAACATTGTCAATAAATGTCATGATTTTTGAAGATAGTTGGACGATTTGTGTCTTTTTGCACAAGTGATATTTTTTGTTAATAATCTTATAATTTCAGGTGTTGGTGATGGATGCTGGACAAATGGTGGAATTCGATCACCCGCACATTCTGCTGAAGAAGAGCGACGGCTTCCTGCGGTCTATGGTGGACCAGACCGGCAAGGTCATGGCTGAAACACTCGCTAGAGTTGCACGGTACAAAATCGAAGTGATCGATTATAAATTTGCTTTTGCCGCCACAAACCTGACTAGTTGATATCATCGATTTGATTACAGCCCATTGCTAGACAATCTCCTTACCTAGGACTGTTAACGTAAGGGTAATATTGTCACCTTCAGATGTGCCGCCCTATAAAACCAAAACTAGGAGAAAGACAAAAACAAAAATTCAAAGTCCTATACTATAACTAATATATTTAAAAAAAAAACAGCAAAAAAGCTTTAGCAATAATTATAAATACTGAAAAGTCAACTTAAAATAAATAACTACAATACACAATACTAAAATCGAATAATACCTATATTTACTAAAATGTCAACTGTCAAAATGACGTTGATAAAGCAGCCCATTTTTGAATCATTATTATTTGATTTACTGATGAAGAGCTATCGTACCACAGAGACGTTTATGCAAACAAGGCTGTAGTTTTTGAGTTGTAACCATATACCATATTAACCTGATGACCATATTATTACCCTCACGTACTATGTACTATAATAGTTATTGAAAAGTTTTGGAGCGTAAGAGAATCGCTATCTGTAAAGGCCTTCAGGAGTGTTCACATAACTGCAACCTTTTTTGTTGGACCTAAATTCCTGAGATAAATTAATAATTACCAAAAAAGGTCAAATTCAATTATCCTTGTAACTCAATTTTTTATTCATAAAATCTATATCAAACACTTGCCTTAGCCTCAATTTGATATGACCTTGTTAGAGTGAACTAACAAATAAGTTGTAATAATGATTTAATAAGTAAGCTACAAAATTATACATGTAAGCCCTAGCAGAAAGTGGCATATAACTGTAACTCGGTTTTTTTTTATAAATTTTGTATCATCGTTAAGGCGTAATGACCTACGTAAAGTAAAATATCCAGTAAGTTGTGAAGAGAGAAATAAATTAGATTGGAAATAAAATTCAAATTGTCCAACAAACAGAAATAATACATGAAAACCCACGTAAGAATAAAAAATAAAAGAGTATATTCAATTAGCACAGATAATAAATACACGTATCATTAGTTAAAAGCGAAAATGTAGCGATGTAAATGTAAAGTGCATTTTTAATAAACACATTTTCGTAGCGGTGATTTTAATAGCAGAAGGCAGAAAATGGAGGATGAAAAGGGCATCTTTTAATAAATTTCAAATTAAAAGCTGATACGTTTATAGAAAGAGGATAGAGTAATGATAAAGTAGACAACAAAATGAACACGGGCGGGCAAGGAGAGTGGCCTTTGTACCGGCCGGATTAAGTTACCGTGCTCTTGCGCCCATTATCAACGTGCTCTGTGCATAATTTTGGCAGAAACTTGTGGTGCAATGTACATATCCCAAAGACTATAAGGAAAAGCTTTAACATTGTTCGACTTTGCAATCTACTATTCACCGAGTGAGATAAAGGAATATGGAAGGATTTGATATACTTCAATTTTTTTAATTTACGAACAAACCCGAGTCCAAGTTTATAAGGTGGCACTTTTTTGGTCTAAGAGTTCCTCTAGATAAGTGCCACTCTCTTGCTTATTCATGGTGCCTAATAGCAGTACGTGTAATACCGTGTTCCGGTCTAAAGGGTATAAAGAACCAGTACTTTTACCGGCTGTGATACAGTCAATCTTAGTCTTCAGACAACTCATCTGTAGCTTGCTAAGTTTCAAGTGCCTGCGTGCTGCAGACGCCACTTACCATTATGTGGACTGCAAATTCGTTTGTCCCTTCGGTCTTATAAAATAGGGCTACTGAAGTCCAACACTCGCAACCAACTCTAAACAAAGAAGGTGACCGGGGCAGGACCACGCTCTCACAGAATACCAGCGTAAAATAGCAGCTTAATGTTGCTGTGTTTTGTATAGTGATTTTGATTCTAATTTGAGGATAAATGTAAATGTCTATGGGCCATGATCCACTTACTATCAGAAGGAATGTGAAAGCATTATTTCACCTGATGGTAAGTGGATGCTGTAGCCCATAAACATCAATTGCAATGCCTCATAAAATGCATATATATATATATATATATATATATATATTCTATTTCTATAATCTTCGAGAGCGTTGTCCAACCCAACCTGGTCGAGCCGATTCATTCGTGCTACATTCATAATATAGCTGCATCACGGCTCTACCACGTTCGAGTCCAGTGTTTAATAACCTTCAACACTGGACCTATACAAATATGTTACGCGGAAACCAATATTAAAAAGTAGAATCCACTGTGTATTAAGTAGGTCAAATATTATCTCGCAGCAAATACAATAATATATGATGTTTGTTGTGGAGCAAAAGCGGGCGCGGGAGCGGGCACGTGCGCGTGTACGCGTCGTAACCCCATTAAAACTGCTTCGGGGCCCCGCCGCGCACATCCCCCTTCATGAAATATTAAAAATTCAATTGCGCTTCTCTTTATTTTAACTCCCTCACCTCCTCCGCGACACCCCGCGCCTTCCTGCACAATATAAAATGAAAAATGTATTTGAAAAATAACTCTCGTCTATTATTTATAATTTGTCGTCTCCAACGAGATCGTGATCGCATCGCAGCCTTTTTGATACACGCTACTGAGACAGCCCGCGACTAAAGTGTCGTTTGTGTTGTAAAGAAAAGTTGCCTTTTTACTTTTAGCACGTATTTTTCTCTATTCTTTATGAGGTGTCTGCAATTGGGCCATTAGCGAAAGTGGGAGAATCCATCACAAGTCATAGGTGACAAGTTAACCGGGAAGAATATAGGAGTATCTCACATTCTTATTTTATATAATACAGTAAGTAGCAATTACAGGTCACACTGGGTTTCTTAATCAACGAAAAGCGACGCAAATATAGCAGTTATGACTAATTTTTTTGAGATTAAAATATGTAGCCACCAGGGGCTCTATGAACTATATTATAAGCAACTTTAAAAATGTTTAAAATTAACATTAATGACCTGCATTTTTATTTTTATATTATTTTATTCCAAGCGGGCCCCACCATACGGAATGATAAGTCGATCGGTAGCTCAGGCCATGCAATGTGACATTACTTCGAGGCCCATGCTCAACCACGGTCTTTTGAAAAACTGTAATGATAATAATGATAATGATAATGTTGAATTACACATGCAGTCTATATTTTCTATCACGGTTTCTAAAAAATATGTTGCTAAGCTGTTACTATTAATTTTGAAAAGAATATGAAAGATTCTAAGATTAAAACGTGAATTAACATAGCCCTTCCTAAAGTCTCATTAATTTTCCAACTTTCATAAGAATAGACCGACGTGACAACCTCAGTTATTAATGCCACTGCATGTTTACATTGTCCGTTCACCTCAACCTTACAAAATGGCGACGTATATAAGGCAAGGAATGAAAATTAAAGTATGCAAGATTCAGGAGTGCTGGCGGCACGCTCTTCCTTACACGTGATACCAAATTTTTTTAAACTTAAATAACAAATCACACAGAACTTTGGACGTCTGTCGTCAAGTTTACACGTCGGCAACAGGTCTCAAATCAAAACCTACAAAGGAGTAAGCCAAAAGTAGGATGATTGCAAAAGCATGGGTAACAAACGAGTACACAGTCCACTCGATATGGATGTTATAGCCCATCCACACTCTTCATTCCTCAATTGAGAATCAAAATGCAGATGTTGATGAGAGATGATTGTCACTCTTGAGGATAGAAGCATTAAGCTACTATTTATGCTGGTATTCCAGTGTGAGCATGAGATAGAGAATTGATTTGACGAAACATGCGTAGGAGATGATGGATACAGTGGCTGAGAACTGTATGATGATAATGATTGTCTGGTGGATAAAATTCGTAACGGAGAAATCCGCCGCAGAACTAAGATTACTAACATAGCCTTTCGTGTTTGTAAACTGAAGTGGCAATGGACTAGTCATGTCTGTCGCAGAAGTGACAACCGGTGGAGTAGACGTGTCATGGAGTGGAGACCGCGCCCAGGCAAACGTAGTGTGGCTACATGGAGCGACAAAGTAGGAACTGGATACATGTAACGACAAAGTAGGAACTGGATACATGCAACCGGAGATCGGACTAAGGAGGCGTAATTTGGGTGAGGCCTATGTCTAGCAGTAGCAGGTTGATGATAATGATGGTAATGATAATGATAAAATTCAACCACAAAATATTTTATGCATTTTCACACTACAATGAAAAAATAACACGTACAAACCAAATATAACACGTATAAAGTAGAAAACCTAACGGTGCATATTTATTGGGTCTGCGAAATGCTCCAACTTTCGGGCAGCTAAATGTAATTATTCAGACGTTAGGCCATTTGAACACAGTATACGGCGACCATCAACCAGACGATCAGAGTTCCCACTTCACAGTTGTACGTCAAAGTAGATTTTTAAACTGGGAATAAAAAAACAAAGCTGAAACCCCGCATAAAAGTTTAGCGTTTGCGACGCGTTACGCGCATTGTGCGGTTTCGACCCACCAACGTTATGAGGCAAAAATACTGTAAGTACCAACTTATTCAGTAAATTAACCATATTGTACCTGTTGATTTCTTAACTCCAACACAATAATACGACGGTATATAGTAACATAATATTAATAACGAGATTGTATAACGTTAAAAAGTTAAATTTACAACCTATATACATCCCACAACTGGCCCAGTTGTGGGTCGCCCTCCTGCCACTTCTAAGAGGGTTTTAGAGCAAGAAAATATCTGTCTCGCTTTCACAATGTGTGTTGGCGAACTTCACATGTTTTCGAAAAAAAAATTTCTTATTTCTCAATCATGCAGGTTTCCTCCTTATGCTTTCCGTGCACTTGATATATCAGCACATAAATTTGCAATTAACCATTTCATTGGCGGGGATCGAACTCATATTGCTCGCGTACTGTAAAACATACAGCGAGAGGTTACCCCTGAGCTACCACCGTTCTATGTCAGTCTCGTGTATATCGTATATGAATATAATTATGAGAAATTGAGAGAAATGGTTGATGTTGTGGAAGCGTAATTAAAAAGTTTGAAGGAACTTAAACCGGTTAATTCCAGTTGGC